GACTCATCCATCACTTCTTATTCTGCAGGTCCGCTGTTCGAACTGCTATACTATCCTATGAATGCTAATGTACAGAATCGCCTTCCCGCTAGTCTAGTTGCTGCTGATTCATACGTACCCTCCATGCGTGCATAGACATTTCGGGACCACAAAGGGTGCCACCACGGGAGGGGAGGGGGGGGGGGATGCGTGCGTGTGTGATTAACCTTGCTGTCTTGGTCATCCTTACCTTGGACGATTAACTTGCCTGGGCTTTCTTCCTGATTCCTGGACTCATCCATACACTTGGATATGTGTGTGTGTGTGTGTGTGTGTGTGTGTGTGTGTGTGTGTGTGTGTGTGTGTGTGTGTGTGTGTGTGTGTGTGTAACCCACCCGCTATCCCTTTGAGGGGATTGCTCAGGCCTAGGTGGGCCTGTTGTCACAGCCGACAACAAACCCTGCTAGGCCAGAAATTCCCTGGACACCACACACCTGCACATCCACAGACACAAACAGAATTAATCCATTCCCTGGTCCTGCTCTAGGGACTAAAGGGTTAACTGCAGCTTTACCCTACTTGGCTGATACAGTTGATGGTTCTCGAATACTCTCCTGACGACATACCATCATTTGTGCGGGTCATAGCCATTGTCGGTCATCTGAGTCACCAGGCGCCGGATCTCGAGTGGTACTTCAGTTGGCTCAGTACACAGGATCAGTATCTGGGCCGTCTGTGCTGTGATAACTTGGAGGGACTGCGCTGTGCTTCTGTTGGAACGTAACCGAGTAAACCTGCATGGTTTGAAGCCTAGGCCCTTCCTCCTGTCGCTTTTGGACGTGGCGAACTCACCTTTCTCGGTCGAGGAAATCGTGATTGTCATACTGAGGAAGTTGGTGACAATGCCCTGGCCATTGTCATTAGTGATTTCAGTGGTTTCTCTTACCTCAATGTACTCTGCGGGGTAGATCCACATGGGGTCCGTATCCCGGTCACAGTCCTTTCTGAAGCAGGTTTTGGCCAAGGGGTTGTTCAGAGAGCAGACATCATCGACATAGCGGAATGCGTTACTGAAAGCAGCAACCAGTTCTCCCATCCCCTTCTGTAGCATCCTGTTCATCGCCTGGTACTCGTACTTGAAAAAGTATACATCACATCATAAAGGGAAGCAGGCCAAACCCATCGGAATTCCCAGCAAGTGTCTCCAAACTTCTCCTCCTAGTTGCACAAGGCTGTGCGAGACACACCATTCCGTGACCGGGACGATCTCCTTCTCAGTAAAGAACATAGACTCGTCGGTGAGACACAGGTGCCTGCTTGCCCATGAGGGAATCATCCTGACGCTTTCGGACAACGTCACCTTCACAGAGTCTCTTGGGCTCTTGTCACGCCTGTGCTTCATGGCGGACTCCACGAAGAATTTCACCGCCGCTACCAGGCCGTGCTCCGATGTGTCAGTGGGGATCAACTCGAAGCATCTGGTGATGTCTGCAGAGAAAACTGATGTGACGTTCGGTGGGAGGCTAGCCGCAAATTCTCCGACAGAAGAAGTGGGCCACCAGAGATTGGGCCTGACACCGTATTCGTCCTCCATCCAGTTGCTTTCTTCTTCACAGAAATCTATTACGGAGGGGGCCAAGAAGGCGAGCAGGCATGCGCAGAGTTTGGCCATGGATGAGACAGCGGAGTTGGAGGTGTTCGTGATCCATCGAAATGATCTCTTGTGTGCCTTGAAGACCGCCATGAGATAAGGCAGTGAAGCTCCGACTCGAGGTAGTGCTGTCAGGTGCTCGTTTTCTGCATGCATGGCCACCATAATGAGTCCCAGTTCTTCATGCTGCAAGATGAAGTCTGGACTGGACAACCTTTTCAATGCCAATTCCCTGATAAAATTGACGCAGACGAAGGCAGGAGTATTAGCAGCTTTGTCAGTGGCAGTGACCAGATGCCTCCTTGTAACGAATTCTATCTCCCTTCTCATATTGGCCTGGTCGATCGGCTCAGCAGTGAAGTGTCTGTGCTTTATCCAGTAGCTGCTCATCTTCTTCCTTGCCTTGTCAAGTGCCGGTTTTCTGACCAGTCTCTTCTTCCTATCGCAGAGTTGTGCAACGTCGTAAACACAGTCCGCAATCATATCGAGCAGCTGCCCCAGCTCGTAGAGGGCTCCCTCAATGTCAAAGGCCTTCAAGGGAACGTGATTGAGCCCAAGCTTCATTATGGCTCTATGTCTACAGTTGTCAGTGATGTTTGGACTCGTGGTAACGACATGATGGTGGGCAGAACCTGGAAGAAGTTCGATCGGGATGTCACTGAGGAGCGTGTCGTACCTAGGCGCTCTGCATGGACATCGCGCAGCGTCATAGTCCTTCGAACACTGTTAGAGATTGAAATCTCTGAAGATCTTCTTTAGTTTGCAAACGAAGGCCTAGATAGGATCGTTGTAGATCCACCCGATCAAAGTGTCGTCTAGCCAGGAGTCTGCCTCCTCACCAACCACCCGTTTCAAGGCGTCATGGATAACTCTTCTTGCAGAGAAGGCTTCCATGATCTTACTGGTTTACCTCATATGCAAGAGGACCTCCTGGGTACGCTTCATCCTCTCCCACTTGAATCTGCCATTGGGCAGCTTTAACATCCTAACACACGGCTCAAGATCCTGCGGGACACGGATAACGCACTCTGTGGTTAAGCAGGAGATTTCAGAGAGCAGTGTTCGTAGAAACAAAGGGGAAAAAAGGGGGAACTACTAGAGAGTAGAAAAAAATGTATTAGAAAAGAAGAAAGAAAAAATAGAAGAAAGAAAAAAGGAAGAAAAAAAGGAAAAAAAGAGAAAAAGAGAAAAAGAAAGGATAGGAAACAAAAAGAAAAGAAAGTAGATGAAAAGAAAAAAGAACAAAGAAAGGACAAAGGAAAAAAGGAAAAGAAAGGAAGAAAAGGAAAAAAAGGGGGGAGCGTAAAGCGGAATTCCTCAGTGCGAGCGGAGGACCCCTAGAGCTTGTAAATCCCCATCTGAGAGCCTTTGCCTGACGTTCCTCGTGCTCATAGACTGTGCAGACTCTACGCCAGACAGTTCCTCAGGGGAGTAGCCGCCGACGGCCGCCACGTGGGATGCTTGCTCCCGTGCGCGGACCTCAGGTGGAGTGGCGAGGATGGGTGGCTGCTGATCCGCCGCTCTCGCCTGTGGGTCGTGCGGAGCCTGATTGACCTGCTGCGCATGGGCATGGTCGGCGCCCCCCCGTAGTACTGCTGCAGGCTGACGTGGTTGCTGCTGAGCAGCTGGTGCTGGCTGGAAATTAAGCCTGGCTNTCCTTACCTTGGACGATAAACTTGCCTGGGCTTTCTTCCTGATTCCTGGACTCATCCATACACCTGGATATGCGTGTGTGTGTGTGTGTGTGTGTGTGTGTGTGTGTGTGTGTGTGTGTGTGTGACCCACCCGCTATCCCTTCGAGGGGAGTGCTCAGGCCTAGGTGGGCCAGTTGTCACAGCGGACAACAAACCCTGCTAGGCCAGAAATCCCCTGGACACCACACACCTGCACATCCACAAACACAAACAGAATTAATCCATTCCGTGGTCCTGCTCTAGGGACTGAAGGGTTAACTGCTGCTTTACCCTACTTGGCTGATACAGTTGATGGTTCTCGAATACTCTCCTGACGACATACCAACATTTGTGCGGGTCATAGCCATTGTCGGTCATCAGAGTCACCAGGCGCCGGATCTCGAGTGCTACTTCGGTTGGCTCAGTACACAGGATCAGTATTTGGGCCGTCTCTGTTGTGATAACCTGGAGGGACTGCGCTGTGCTTCTGTTGGAACGTAACCGAGTAAACCTGCATGGTTTGAAGCGTAGGCCCTTCCACCTGTCGCTTTTGGACGTGGCGAACTCACCTTTCTCGGTCGAGGAAATCGTGATTGTCATACTGAGGAAGTTGGTGACGATGCCCTGGCCAGTGCCATCAGTGATTTCAGTGGTTTCTTTTACCTCAATGTACGCTGCGGGGTAGATCCACATGGGGTCCGTATCCCGGTCACACTCCTTTCTGAAGCAGGTTTTGGCCAAGGGGTTGTTCAGAGAGCAGACATCATCGACATAGCGGAATGCGTTACTGAAAGCAGCAACCAGTTTTCCCATCCCCTTCTGTAGCATCCTGTTCATCGCCTGGTACTCGTACTTGAAAAAGTATACATCACATCATATAGGGGAGCAGGCCAAACCCATCGGAATTCCCAACAAGTGTCTTCAAACTTCTCCTCCTAGTTGCACGAGGTTGTGCGAGACACACCATTCCGTGACCCGGACGATCTCCTTCTCAGTAAAGAAATAGACTCGTCGGTGGGACACAGGTGCCTACTTGCCCATGAGGGAATCATCCTGAGGCTTTCGGACAACGTCACCTTCACAGAGTCTCTTGGGCTCCTATCACGCCTGTGCTTCATGGCGGACTCCACGAAGAATTTCACCGCCGCTACCAGGCTGTGCTCCGATGTGTCAGTGGGGATCAACTCGAAGCATCTGGTGATGTCTGCAGAGAAAACTGATGTGACGTTCGGTGGGAGGCTAGCCGCAAATTCTCCGACAGAAGAAGTGGGCCACCAGAGATTGGGCCTGACACCGTATTCGTCCTCCATCCAGTTGCTTTCTTCTTCACAGAAATCTATTACGGAGGGGGCCAAGAAGGCGAGCAGGCATGCGCAGAGTTTGGCCATGGATGAGACAGCGGAGTTGGAGGTGTTCGTGATCCATCGAAATGATCTCTTGTGTGCCTTGAAGACCGCCATGAGATAAGGCAGTGAAGCTCCGACTCGAGGTAGTGCTGTCAGGTGCTCGTTTTCTGCATGCATGGCCACCATAATGAGTCCCAGTTCTTCATGCTGCAAGATGAAGTCTGGACTGGACAACCTTTTCAATGCCAATTCCCTGATAAAATTGACGCAGACGAAGGCAGGAGTATTAGCAGCTTTGTCAGTGGCAGTGACCAGATGCCTCCTTGTAACGAATTCTATCTCCCTTCTCATATTGGCCTGGTCGATCGGCTCAGCAGTGAAGTGTCTGTGCTTTATCCAGTAGCTGCTCATCTTCTTCCTTGCCTTGTCAAGTGCCGGTTTTCTGACCAGTCTCTTCTTCCTATCGCAGAGTTGTGCAACGTCGTAAACACAGTCCGCAATCATATCGAGCAGCTGCCCCAGCTCGTAGAGGGCTCCCTCAATGTCAAAGGCCTTCAAGGGAACGTGATTGAGCCCAAGCTTCATTATGGCTCTATGTCTACAGTTGTCAGTGATGTTTGGACTCGTGGTAACGACATGATGGTGGGCAGAACCTGGAAGAAGTTCGATCGGGATGTCACTGAGGAGCGTGTCGTACCTAGGCGCTCTGCATGGACATCGCGCAGCGTCATAGTCCTTCGAACACTGTTAGAGATTGAAATCTCTGAAGATCTTCTTTAGTTTGCAAACGAAGGCCTAGATAGGATCGTTGTAGATCCACCCGATCAAAGTGTCGTCTAGCCAGGAGTCTGCCTCCTCACCAACCACCCGTTTCAAGGCGTCATGGATAACTCTTCTTGCAGAGAAGGCTTCCATGATCTTACTGGTTTACCTCATATGCAAGAGGACCTCCTGGGTACGCTTCATCCTCTCCCACTTGAATCTGCCATTGGGCAGCTTTAACATCCTAACACACGGCTCAAGATCCTGCGGGACACGGATAACGCACTCTGTGGTTAAGCAGGAGATTTCAGAGAGCAGTGTTCGTAGAAACAAAGGGGAAAAAAGGGGGAACTACTAGAGAGTAGAAAAAAATGTATTAGAAAAGAAGAAAGAAAAAATAGAAGAAAGAAAAAAGGAAGAAAAAAAGGAAAAAAAGAGAAAAAGAGAAAAAGAAAGGATAGGAAACAAAAAGAAAAGAAAGTAGATGAAAAGAAAAAAGAACAAAGAAAGGACAAAGGAAAAAAGGAAAAGAAAGGAAGAAAAGGAAAAAAAGGGGGGAGCGTAAAGCGGAATTCCTCAGTGCGAGCGGAGGACCCCTAGAGCTTGTAAATCCCCATCTGAGAGCCTTTGCCTGACGTTCCTCGTGCTCATAGACTGTGCAGACTCTACGCCAGACAGTTCCTCAGGGGAGTAGCCGCCGACGGCCGCCACGTGGGATGCTTGCTCCCGTGCGCGGACCTCAGGTGGAGTGGCGAGGATGGGTGGCTGCTGATCCGCCGCTCTCGCCTGTGGGTCGTGCGGAGCCTGATTGACCTGCTGCGCATGGGCATGGTCGGCGCCCCCCCGTAGTACTGCTGCAGGCTGACGTGGTTGCTGCTGAGCAGCTGGTGCTGGCTGGAAATTAAGCCTGGCTTGGCCAGGGATAGGTTCCTGGCAGCTTCTCCTTTTGCGTGCAGGTCTACGTGAAGAGACCATTGCCACCCTTCGTGGCCTGGCGGGCACCCTAGTATGGCGGGTTCGGTATCACCGCATTTGTCTGGATCGATGAATGTTAGAGACGGAAAGGGGAGATCTGTGGGTTTGAACAGTGGGTTACCCCTGCCACAATATTTAAGTTGTCCTTTGTAAGCAGTCAGTCAGCACTTCCTAATATCTTCGTCCGTAAGGCCAGCCAGGAATTGATACGCTTTGGTCGAAATGGGAGCAAGGTGGTTGTAYGTGTCCATCCTCCAGATCGAGTGCCTGAAGGCTTGGCACGTGTGCTCTATCCATTGGTGCGAGGCGATGGGGGCAAACGCGGTGTACTACCTGTTAGYAGAGACGGCAAGGGGCTGCCTCCGCCGAGCAGCCGGCCTCGGGGAAGGCGCGCGCGCCCTTGTAGTAATGGCGGGGAGGGCTTGTTCCATCTCGTCAARCTCTTCGTCGTTTACATCAAGGYCGTGACATCTGGCAGCTCTAGCAGGTCCTAGTGGCACCTGGGGGGGTGAAGGGGGTGGTCGTGGAGCAATCTTCGCGGGTACGTGATTGCTAAGGTGCGCGTCGCTAAGATTCCATGCTCTAAGGAAAATATGTTCTACCCTAGTGCATCGACCCGGAAGCTCTCTATTCTCCAGTGCGTATGCCGCCAGCCTTTGCTCTAGCTCGACAGCCAGGGTTTGAAGGTCCGTTTCGTAGTTCTGCCTGYTGTCTTCCCATGCCATGGCGAGCTTTGCAAGATCGCTGAACAACATACCCTAAAAAAAACTCGGATATCGGCCTGTTGCAAGCAGTTGCCTCATAATCTCCATGCTGTCAGTCTTCATGCAGGCGATGAGAGTTTAGGCTGGTTTGCTTGGCCAAGGGTGCGCTTCTAGCCAAGGGAACTTCGCGATGACTTCATTCCACCAGCCGCCGGGAAAGGATTCCGTGGGAGTGCTCTGCAAAACATACAACACCAAGCAGGGTATACGGGGTTTCGAGAACAGAGGAAGAATGAACAGAGCAATGGGGTAGGGGGGTCGCGAGGAGAAGAGGTGGGGGGGAGGAGGGAGGGGCTGTCTTTGTTATTGCCGTCGTTGTCCCGCTATAAACCTCGAGGTAACACTATTCCCATCCTACCCGTCCTCCTYRATGCTTCCCACGAGCGTGCCGACACACCAGCTTTCAGTGCAATTCCTCGATGATCGGTCGAGACGGGGTGTTCCAAGGTATGGTCTYYGSRGGCACCCGGACACAGTGTTGCGGGGATATACCCACTAGTGTGTGTTTATTTCKCGTATRGTATGCGAARATAYGATAAACCTGTATCTCGTATATCCTCCGACGAAGGAACGTCGRCATACCTTGTCCCCGAGGTCATGCGCAGGTGAGGTGTGCCATCTTAGCGTTGTGCGACTTGCATCWACTARGGCGAGGACAWAGGTTAMTCTCATCCGGCCTGTGCATTTCCGTACCGAYGGSGAACRGMCTTTAGASMAAGACGAAGAASGGGGGTATTATGACRGGAGGAACATAACATAGCAGGACCGTGYTGTGGAGATAAAGGGGAGCARATCGTAGGGTAAAGGGGTGGGGGGRATTGCGTCCWATATCAATCAWAGGCATCCTCAAGAACTTCTGAACCGTTGATCCTTTACAATCRAGTGGATTAGTCARATCAATCGACCCGGTTCYTGATGCGGCCAGAGGTATTCGRAAGAAGAGAGGTCACGCMCARAAGAGGGATCGCATCAGTTTATTGCCGAAAAAAAGGACAATCTATGCAGTCGATCGCAAAGAAGACGGGGGGCAGGAAAGGGGGGGAGAGAAGGAGGGGGGGAAACGGGATAGTCGTATTTCTAATACTAAAGAGCARRAAMAACAATCGGAGGGGGGAGGAGGGGGGATGAAAAAAGTCTTGACCGCGACCAGTCTTTCATCAACGATGCTATAATCCAGGGTTTTTATTACGCCGGAGAGCTGTTTAAGTGAAAGATCGGTCGCCAGTCTTTCGAGACCCTTCGTAAGGCTGGATACCCCTGTGACCGAGCAAAGGATCCTTCCTATGGACCACATAACCGTGCGGTTCAAAATATATATATATAAAATTATATATACATACAAATATATATATAAAAAAGGGGGGGAATATAGGAGGGAATCATTTCCGAAACTTATACATGAGTGAAGAAGAAGCCCGTAAATGGGAGATCTCGACTAGTATGCAGATGCGATCTTACTTCTAGGCAAGAGACAGGCCGATAGAATTGGCCACGGTTGCTCTCTGTCAGGAAGGGGCGGTCTCATCCGTGCACACAGCCAATCCATTGTAGACAGAATTAACGATCCCTCGCACGTACTATGGCTATTTCAAAAAGAGTTGTGTGGGGGGGGGGAGAGGGGTGGTAGTCGCAATACCCTTCAACAGAAAAGGAAAAAGGGAAACCAGGGCATGCAAATGCGATTAGTCTTTCACTACTGCGCTTTCATTTAGGTCCATTCATAGGATTGTGGTGCAGGCAGCAGAAAGATTCATTGCGGATTTTGGCGAAAAAAATCATCATTATGCAGTACTCTGAAGGAGTCGGAAAGAGGGTGTGATGGGGAGGAAAAGAACAAAGTCTTTTAGATAGCAATATCATTCACTCGTTAATGGTAGCGTTTTTTTACAACAAAGAAAATATAAAAAAATAATAAAAAATGAAAAAATAGGAAAAGAAAAGGAAAAAAAAAGAAACGAAAAGATAAAGAGAAGAGAAAAAAAAAAAAAAAAAAAAAAAAAAAAAAAAAAAAAAAAAAAAAAAAAAAAAAAAAAAAAAAAGGAACAAAAGAAAGAAAAAGAAAAAAGAAAAACGGGGAGGGGGAGGGGGGGAAAAAGGAAGGAGGCACACGAGTACTAGTATGCGGTCAGCCTTTCATCCTAGCGCTTCTAATTAGAAAGAAGCATAGGTAGTTGGAAGAATGATCGCATACCTTTTTAACAAATTCTTCTTACAAGACAAAGCTACCATAGGGATTTGCGAGGAAAAAGGACGAAGAAACTTGTGACATCCACATCACTCATTAAGAACCGAATTCATACGCTCGAAAAAAAGTGCATGCTGCCAAAAAGTCGTCTCCGTAAATAAGATAAGGTCAGGAAGAGAGAGAGAACGAGAGGGAGGGAAGAGGGGATGAAGAAGAAAGGAACGAGAAACCTGCACCGTGCCATTCAGTATCCTGATTCCGCATTAACATGCAAGGAACAACAAAGCAGATCCACAGGCGGGGTGGCACATCCCTGAGGCCTTTCTGCTGCCTGCCACTGGCAGCGTCATCAGAGGGGGGACCTTCCCCTTTGTCGTCGGAAGGCCGAGAATGAGACGAGGGAGGGTCTTGATGGCGGGGGGTGGAAGCAGAGGGGGAGGGTGGAGGGGGACGGGTTACAAGCGCCTTGCAAAGGGGAGAAGCCGTGGAACGAGGATAACCATACCGACATGGCGATCGTGAACCGTGAGGCGAAACTGTAGCGTCGAGAAGTTCACAGTGTACGATGTGCGGATCCTGCGTATGCGAGCCAGTAGAAGGGAGGGAAGCGAGGAAGAAGAGGACAGCCAGCAAGGAGAGAAGTGCGAGATAGGCGAGGAAGATGCACGCTGATAGCTCCATGGAAGACCTCTCTTCGGCTTCGTATTGTGCCATCTTCTGCGTGAGAGCCTAGTGATGCTAAGCTTCTCAAAACACCAGCCGGGAGGTACGAAGGATTAGCGTAAGAGCAGTG